GTGTGTGTGTGTGTGTGTGTGTGTGAGAGAGAGAGGCTGGGGAAGCCGCCTTGACTCGTGCTGCAGTGCCTCTGTTGTGCCACTAGGTGTCCCATCCACTAAGGGGAAGACCAGTCACTGGCAGAGAAACTCCAGAGAAATCCCTTCTCTGCTCTGCAAGCAATGGCTGCATGTTCTGTGATAGCATTAAAACTTCTCCTCAAACTCAACATTAAAAATCTAATCCATCAAATACTGACAAATGTAATTAAACTTACTAAAAAGTAAGTCGTTTCTGATCCGTTTACTAGACAAGACCCCAACCAAACCTGCCTGACCAGGACATACCAGCCGTCTCCTGCAGACAGCATGTGTCTAAAAGGTATGTCTGTCTAAGAACTTCTTTTTAAGTCTGGACTTACAAGGCATGGTGACTTGAATTCTTATAATATTTTAGTTTGCTGTTGTTTTGTATCCACACTTATCACAAATTCCATGACTACAAGTCTAGAATACAAAACAGTTTAATCAATCCAACGTATATGTTTACTGAAATTGTGTATTTATATAAACAGATTAAAATGTTTTCCTTCATAAAGACACTATTATTGAATATTCACTGTGAGGATAGGTAGGTAACTTTAACCTGATATACAAAACTGTACATCCCACAGGAAAAGAATGGACTGAGGACAGAAATGGAAAAAGGTCGGTCTACATGTTTGAAAATACCTCAAAAATCAGTCTTGAAGCTGTTTTTGTGTATTAGTGGGACAATAATATTCACACTCATGTTCACGTGTGTGAATTGGAATAGAGAACAATACAAAGTCGATCTTAGTGGTATGGGGAGTTCAACTTGTTGCAACATGTGCCTGTGTCTACTAATGAAAGGTGGAGACAGGTATAGTGCCACTTGACGCAAGTGCATGTGTTAAGGATATCACACCACTGCCAACAACCTGGCCAGACCTGCACATCTGGTACAACCAGGTACACCTCATCCTGCAGGCACTCTCCCTCCACCCTGTCCCACTGGGCCCCAACGTCTTACATCAGGGACTCGTCAGACTGGACATGTGGCTGAAACTGGTTTCTGGGAGAGGCATGTGAGCCTCTAACAGAGGAAAGGTATCTGAAGGAGAGAGAAATGTGTATGGTGCGGAAAACTTTTGCAACAGTTTCCATGGAACTTTAATATCAGTCCAATATGAATCCTTTACAAATAGGTCTTCAAATCTGCTACTGCTTTAAAGGATCCCTTACACTTTTTAAATCTGAGTCCTAACGTAACACAGAATATTTCAAATGTATCAATTATAGTTGATGTAATAGAGAAGCTGCATCACAATCTGATTCTGCTAAAGCAACAATGACAAAGAGTCATTTAGCTTATGAGAAGTGTAGAAAGGCTACATGAGTTAGAGCTATATCTGATATACAGGTAGGGAGTGTGTGTTGCTGGGGGGGAGGGGGGGACGTCACAATTTCTATATGACCAATGGATGACGAAGTGAGGAGGAAGTGCATGACTCATCGGTGTGCATTGGTATTCCTCCGCATAATCCAGCACAATCACTAAAAAAAAGCATGAACATTGGTCAGTCCTGTAACAGCCTACATTTGCGCCTTTGGTTTCATCCAGGGCGTCAATTAACCCCCCCAATCATAAAAAACGACGCTTTGGAGGCAAAGTGCGTCACGATGCAGAGCAGAGATAAACAAATGAGTTCTTAGAAAAAAAACAAGGATTCAAATGGTCCGGATCGCCTGGGTTGTGTGTATTAGAGAAATGAATATTTCTTTTGTCAGATATTATCAACCTATCCCGATGCAAAAGGGGGAGTGCTCGAAAAATTGCGCAGCAAGAGGCTCCAGACGCAGCGGTCCTCGCAAAACAGGAGACTGGAGAAGTTGGTCAAACCATGGCAGGGCGATTCCTGTGAGACTAGTGGCTACACAAAACCAAAATACACTCAGATCTGAACGGTAACTCGCTGATATTTTACCAAGCACGTTGAAAAAGTACATTATAGAGAGCCACAGCCAAGGAGTGACGTGGAATCCTCATGTCACAATATGTGGGGCAAACGGACTGGGACAGGTATGTGTGACAAGGAGGAAGGGTTCAGAAACCGACGACACAAGCAAGGAGCATGACAAAACAGCACCTGGATGTATTGACACACAAAGTGACGCTAAACGTGATTAACACAAGTGTGAAATGTGTCAAACTACCTAGAGTGACACATTTTTTCAAAAGTCTAACGCAGTGAAAATGATCTGGATGTAGGTCACGTTTTAATTGAGCATAAGGGTTTGTCCTACATTATGCGGATGGGTTAATGTGGTTCAGTAGTGCGCCGGTTGAGAGCTCCCCCACATTAAACAGCTCTCTGAGAAAAGTGCGCATAGCCTGCGCAATTTGGCTCCTGGCTCACCAATGTGGGGCAAACCCCCCCCCCCCCCATTACCCCTCCAAGTGTGGGTGAAACCTCTGATTGGAGCCCCTGGCAGCAGACGGTGAAAATGCTTGACGCCAGAGAAGAAGAAAAACACAACCAATTGAGCTAATAAGGAGCATTATCTTGTCAAACAGCTGTTTACCCGCGCCTGTTACGCAACAGCAGCCTCCCCTTGAATTAAACCACTAAATTACGCACCAGAAACGCAGCCCTTTCTGTGCCAAAGTGAAGTTTGAGCTCAATCACCGTCGAGTCCACCTGTCTACTTCGTGACCGTGTATGTTGGCGTGGAAAACTGCCGTGACACCACTCACCTGCCCATTTGCCCAGCTTCGGGGAGAGCAGCTGCCCATTCCCCAGGACCCAGATCCTGAAGCCTGAGAGCAGCCTGTAGAGCAGCCACAGCGCCAGGGAGGCCACGGTGAAGGCGCCGACCCAGAAGAGAGGCGTCTCGGCCCTGCGGAGCATCTCCTCAGCGTCCATCCACTTCATGGCTGCGGTGACTCGGCGTGTGTGCGTGAGAGTGTGTGTGGAGACCTCAATTTTTTAGGCAATGTGCTCTAATTTCCCAGCCACAACGTGAGAGAGAGTCCCTTTGTAAGGAGGTTGTAGCATCACACACACTCCCCCAGCACTTGTCTAGCCTAATTTAAAGTGCACCGCCCACCTCGCGATCCGCACCGCCCCCCCTGCTCCCCACTGGCCGCCTCCCGGCCGATCCTCCCCGCCGGTTCGCTTATTTGCACGTCAATCAAGTCTGGAGCGTCCCCCGTTCCTTCGATTTTCTGTATGAAGGGAGACCGGGACGAGCAGCGATTGGGCGAACATTACAGCAGCTCCCATCCGGAGGCTGCCATTGGCTGTCGCCGGAACAGGTTTGTCAGTTTCAGTCAGGATTATGAAACCCTCCGAACCCACGCTTTCGGAAAAAAAAACTGCCCACACCACTTTATGAATGAAAAGATGCCCTCATTGGTGAAAAATGCACTCGTCCTCCCGCCCCTTGGATTGCGTTTGGAGGCAGATCACTGGCTCGAATGCTGCCAGTCTGTGAGGTCAGCCTGCTCCCACCTAGACATGAGTCACTCGTCTATTTTAGGTATTCTGACTGCATCATACTGCTGATAAACCACTGGTATGCGCACTGAGCCATCTTGGCGCATAGATCCACTCGTGTTGCGCCAGATTTCTCCTAAACTCTCGCCTCTCTGCTGCAAAGTGCAAATGTAGGCTCCTCTCTTAGGAAAAACTACAACCCCCAACACAGCGTTCGATTTTTTTTTAATCTCGCGAGATTTTCAGCACTATAGTAAGTGGCCCTTTTCCAAAACATTGAGGAGGGGGAGATGAGATGGGATTTGTGTGTGTTACATAAACGCAGAGACGGACATGAGTTTTTCCATCGCTTTATTTCATTTTCACATCATATCGATTCAAAAGTCACATCCATAATCCAGTCGTGTTTAAAGATGCTGGATGTTTCAGCACAACCCACTGTCACGATTTTGTCTCATGTGCGCGCTCTCTGTTCCCCACTCCGACCCAGAGACACGCTGTGCGCAATACACTCCAACGCTCCCCCCCCTGTGCCGCCATGCTCCCTCTCCCTGCCCCACTCTCTCTTGCACACACACCTAAACTAAACATGAAATCCTGACAAACCGAGGCTGTGTGGCACTAAGCAAAGCCTGTCGTGTACTCAGAAGAGGGTAGAGAGTATGAAACTGAGTCCACATGCTGACAGTCGTCATGCAGCTGCTCAAATTCTCTGACACAAGTGGAGAGAGATGGAGGAGACCGGGGAAGGCAGCAGCAGCGAGTTGTGCAACATTTGCAAACGGGATGAAAATGAAACTGCTCACTGACCAGCCATACAAAGTAATAATATATTTACTAAAAGTCATCTTTGACAAAATAAAATGTACACAAAGTTTTTTTTTTCAAGCAGGGATTTTGTTTTCTGGAATATTTTTACGCACGCAATATTTTTACATTCATCTCCTCGTTAATAAACATTTATCACATTACAGGCTGTGATGTTGGCCGAGTTTTTACACAGAGATATTTGTTACAATTTTCACATTGAAGAAGCAAATACACAACATTTACAGTACAGTGTAACACAGCCAGAGGAATTATGTTAGAGAGACAAAAGTAGCCACAAAGTGGGTTTGAACTGATAATATTAAAGATGATACATTTTAACATGACACACACACGTTTGGTGAGTCCACCTTCACGTCCTGTCCTCGCAGCCCAGCAGCTGAGAACGATAGAGAAAATGTAGTTTTAGTTTTAATAAAATTTTTCTGTGTAAGCTGAGAAAGTTTACAAAATGCTCACTAAAGCATCCCTTTACACACCTCCACTTATATCGCATTATTTTGTGGGGGGCTGTTTCTAATTGTAAATGTAGCTACCCAAAGTATCGGATTTTTCTGTGGTCTGGTTCTACCTGCTTCTGCCCAAACATTGCAACAAACGACAGCCTCTGCTGTTGTCTCATTCCAGGTTTTTGTTTTGTGTTCACTAAGAGTATATTTACCCCTCCCAGTATTGATGGCCCTAAGCACACACACACCCTTTCCTAAATCCTACAACACAAAGCTTTTCTCACATTAAGTTTCTGCCCCCTCCTCTCAACACACACACACACACACACACCCTCTCTCTCTTCAACGTATCAGGGTCAACACTCGCCCCATGTCCCCCTTCACACACCCTAGTCCGACCACTTTGACACTGCAGTCACAAATGATTTGTCCCCTCCATCATAGTTACTGACAACATCTTTGTCCATAAATTCCATAAGTTCAGTCGATTTTTTTCAAATCTCGTGTTTTTTCATGTTAATAATCATGACACAAAGTTTTTAAGGTGAACAATTATTACAGGGAATTTCGAAACAAAATAAATGTCATCGTGATGATAATTTCTCTTCCCACAGAATAATAAACAAATTCACTGACTGCCATCAATGATTTCAACAACACTGTGAAAAAGAAATTAAAGAAAGAAATTAGACTTCATTTAAAGAGGGATTCTGTAAGAATATTTCGTAGTGCAGACTTGGTCAGACTTTGATCCCACCGTTTTCTTTTTCTTTTAATTCTGTGCCTTTTGTGTGTCGCTGTCCACCTACGAGGTGCTGAAACACGTATTTCAGCAGTGGACACACAGACACTAAGCCCCCTGAACATTAAACACGTATGAAGCTTCTCATAAGTAAACGATCGACTTCTGCCCCGCACAGATATTTCAGCATGTGCATGAGCCTCAGACCAAGATCTGACAGAGACCAGCGAGCTGAGCTGTCCTGCCCTGTCCTTTACTGTCCACCCCACAGTCCACAGCCTACTCTCAGTCTCTCGGTATTTATCATACAGCTGAGTATGTTCACCATGAACGTCTCTGACACAACATGCACTTTTCTAAATAAAAATAAAAATCATCCATCGAAGCATCCCATCAACTTCAACGCAGCAAATAAACAGCCCAATTCTCATATTACACATTCAGAAGTTGGCCGTGACAGTCGCAAGAACTACGAGTAAAAACGAAGTAAATCTGTTTAAGTAAGTCAAACATAGCCTTCCTCTTTTAACTGTGCTGAGTGTTCATTACAAGTATTTGACAACCACCTCACACTAATAAAACAATAATTTACAGTCAAAGTTTTTGTGCTTGTTGTTTGTGGGCTTGGATTTTTTTTTTACTCACCTATACATTCCTGATTGACCCGAAAGACGACAGCAGCTGCATCTGTGGACACGCACGCACGCACGAACGCACGCACACACACACACACACACACACACACACACACACCTCGAAATGAGGAAAGAACATATAGCAGTTTTCTTTTAACAAAGCAATATCTTATATTTTCATGTCTGAAACTTTTAAAAATGCTTCACAAAGTTAACAAAATCTTTACACAGAATATCAGTGGTTTTGACTTATATAATTCCAGCAACAAATAGATCAGTTTATTAAAACAAGTCACTACTAACTTTTATATTAATAATACTAAACGGGCAACGGATAAATGACCTGCAGTAATATGTACAATGAATAGGATCTTAAAAATATAAT